GCGTTCGAGAAACGTTTGGAATTTCAACCTTCGTTTCGATGGCCAGCAGGCAATAACCATAATGGGCATAAACGGCTTGAAAGCGATTCACATTGCCGGTGTCTACGCGACGAACCAATGTACCCGTACCCACCCATTTGTATTCGGTACACAAGCGTAATTTGAAATGAAATCGTGGGGTAGTATTGAATAATTATTCCTAATTCGACTACGTTCCAACGATGCGATAGTGACGGGCGTGAAAATAAAACCGAAAACAAAATTGTTGCCGGCGAAAAAATTTGCAGCCGCGCGAGTATTATTACCGGTATTACGCCGGCGGAAAACGAGAATCGAGAATCTATAAAACATAGATGGGCAGCACATTTTGTGACCGGATTTGTTTTTTTCTTTTGGTTTTACGATTTGTTGGTAGGCGCCCGCTTTAATTTCCGTCGGCTGATCGAGACATCTCGATTTTAAGGGAATCACAATGTTTCGGAATCATTGAACGCGACACGTTATTATATTGTCTGTACCCAACGTGATAAAATGATTAATTTACCGTACAGACATTAGAGAATATTCGCCGTATCGGCACGTTAATAAATACGGATATCAGTATAGTACTTTTGCGGTCGTAAATGTATTATCGTTGTTATTATTATTATTATTATTATTGGGTTATGCGCTGTAATAAAACCAACGATAAAACGGCTAACAGGGCTCTTTTAATGCCCGTTCCTCTCAGACCGCGGCCTACGCAATTTATTGAACACGGGCGCGGCCCGTCCGCGTCCTCAATATCTATGGCATTTATGCGTACTAAAATCAAGAGCAAACATAATATCGTATGCATATTATAATAATTATATGACGATGAGAATGTTGGTAACGATCGCAATCGTATTGTCCAGTAATGTGTACGGTTCGAATGTCGCAATAAAAAAGCGACCAGAGCGGGTTTCGACCAAACTTCATCGTACAAGGTAATAGATTGCCCTTGAAATTGATATCGAAAAACTTTTTTCCATAGGCGTTTGTCGGTTAAAGTTCTCCGTGCCGTCACGTTATATTACATGTATAGTTTATCTGTATCGCGGACCGGCAGTTTTCTACGAAGGTTTCGAGCGAATTTCATTTTTCCGGAGGCATTATATTATGCGTCGATGTTATTCGCAATATTTACAAAATGTCATCCCCATAAAACGCGGTTACGTAAGTATTTTTTATCTAGAAGAGGCGAATACATTTTTATTTTTTTTTTAATGACAGTATAGTGGAAAAGTATTGTGAACACGGATAACTCACTGCAGCGGTCGGTTCAAATACGTGAAAAATAAAAAATGGCAAATAATATTGAATTAACTATTAGATCTCATTATACGATGTATACCAATGTTTCTCAATATTTTTACCGTCGCGACTCCTTAAATGAATATTCAATTTTTGAGCGACCCCCTAATTATATACGTATACACAACGACCAACAATTTTTGGCAACCCCCGAAAGGATCACGTCTTCCAGGTTGAAAAACTCTGATCTGTACAAACAAATTACGCAACTAAATATCCCTTCGGGTGTTGAACTGGACACCGGAAGTGCACATAGTATTTTCATTAAAAAATGTATACATCTGGTTAAATATTTACTGGTTAATCATTTGGTAATTATATTTACACAGTATAAAGACTCTGTTCCTGTTTTTGGTGTAATATTTGATTGTTTTGAATTTTAATTGTTTTTGTGTACTACTTTACAAGTCCAGTTCAACTAATGAATATTGACTACATCCAATTTTGGTTAATATAGAAATCAAGTATTTTTTTAAACGACATTCGATCAGTGTCTACAATAATCGTGCGTAAATTTGTGTTTTGTAACATGAATTAAAATCGATGATTTTTTAAATGAATCCCATGCAATGACCTATCTCCCCGTAATTACACCTCTCCCCTCCCGTCCATCTGGTTGTATCGCTGTTGCGATATTAGTCACAGAAAGATAATAGAAAACAATTGTCAATTAATTTGACGCAAACGCGAACGGCATTTTGAAGTGAAAATTATAAGTCTGTGTCAATGTAGACACTAATGACAGGGACGGGTCGGATGGCGTCCGATCCGATCCGATGAAATCCAAATTTCGGTATATAATTACAAACTAATACTTTTTTTTTTTTTTTTTTTTTTTTTTTTACTGTGAATTATGAACTATATGCACTGTGATTTATTAGCAGGCCTTGGTTCGGCGGGTTCCTGTTTAAAAGTAGATATTTATAGTTACTCATTAAACCGGATTGAGAACTGTCGAATTTCGCGGTTATATATGCTCGTGTGATATGTGAATTATATGACGTGGGTCAGTATACAGAGTGTTCTGTTATTTGGAGTGGTAGTGTATCGAACTGTATTAAATAATATATTTTATTGTCTCGTCTTGATCGGTAAAAAAAAAAAAAAAAACAAAAAACAAATACATTTTCGAAAAAAACTACGGCGAATATCATACGCATCAAACGACGTTTTATATTTTTTAACTCAACACGGTGTATGCGCTTTTTACGTTTCGTTAAAGGTACACAAATTATTAAATATTATTATACGCGCATTTAGAGTATATTTTTGCGATAATTTCGATACGCAAATTTTACTGTTATACTTATTGGAGCTTGGATGTTGTGTTTGCAACTTTTTTCCTATTGTTCGGATTTGTTGTTCAAGTTCCATTCGTTTCACGCAAATATAAATTAATATCTAAAAATTTTTAGTGGACATTTTTGCAATTTTCAGCATTTTTTCGATTCGAGTGCAAACTTTTGTCGATTTTCTTCATTTTATAAACACTTTTAAATTATTTTCACGTGGTTTAATATTTTTTTTTTACATTTGAAATAAAATAACGACGGGAGCCCGTATCCGTTATAATAACGGATATTATATCAGAACAATGAAATATTTTTAAATTCGTAGAAAATAATCCAGTAAGACCACTGATTAGATAAACAAACGATGATAAAATGTTGTGATCTCTCGAGTTTGAAAACGTGCGCTAACGTAGCGCTATCGTTTTTTAGGTGTATAGATACACAAATGCGCAGTATTAAAAAATAAAATAAAACTACGTTTTTAAATTTTAATAATTTTGTATGTACAGAACCCCGATGAAAGACAAAACTAAATACCAGTGTTCGATTGTAATTTCGAGTATTTTCGGTTGAACGTTTGGACCGTTGAAATAAAATATCCAAAGCGGATTTTTACGGATTCGTATATTTATAAGTAACGCCGCGCGCGTATTGTCCATTAGGCTTAGCGTTCGTATACAATATTCTGTATGATACGATAATAGTAATAATAATAATAATAATAACATTATGTTTTATAACGTTTTATTAAAATGAATATAAAAAAAAAAAAACAGAAACAAACCCCCCCGTACGAATTATGAATGCGTATTATTGTACGTATAATATGTTTCGACATTATTCGGGACTGAAAACCGATTACATTTATTTGTTTGAGTATCATATTTCGCGGTCGTTTTTACGATATTATATCATATAAAGCCATTAAATTTCGATTTTAATTCCTTTGGCTTTAATAACATACGTGGTTGAAAGTCCGGGATTACAACAATAACAACAACAAAAAAAAAAAAAAAAAAAAACAAATCAACTCGCACAGCCGTTATTTTCCGTCTGTACATAACATAATAATGTACAAGTGCAGAGACTGAGTTCAGTTAACTTTTTACGCCGCCGTAATTCGAATGAGTTACTGTTGCACGAAAATACGACCGTTCGGTTCCAGAATTATAATTATTAGGTATAGCCGTGTATAGGTGTATATAAATTATAGCGTTGGACGCGCACGTTTCGTCTTGGTAATACAGAGATGAAAAAAAAAAAAAACGTCTACGATGAAAAAACAGTAGGTCCATATAGCGGATACAACGAAAGCGTTTGAAATGTTAAAAAACAAAACAAAACAAAAAAAAAAAGGCCAACGAAAATTAGTGTAATTTACGGTACAGGCTGTATACGCGCGCATAATTTGTATGCGAAAAAAATTATTCCTGCGACCGCGACGATATTCGTAATAATAATATTATAATAATCATTGAAAAAAAAAAAAAAAAAAAAGAGATATTATGAGTTTTGTTTATTCGTTTGATAATTTATTTATTCAAGGTTTAGTGTTTAGTTTGTATAAAATAAAGGTCCGATTCGCGTTGAGAAACTGCGGATGAATTTTATTTTTTTTTTCAATTCTGTCGCGCCTATAAAAATTGACGATTTTCGTAACGTCCGGACGGGTTTAATTGCGTTTAAAATAATAATATTATCGTAGGGCGGTTTTTTCGACGCTCAATAAAACGCCGTAACATTTTTCTAGCGTGCAGCCGCGCAAGAATAGGATATACACGATTTCAGAATATCACGTATACGCCGATCGTCTTTTTCGGTTTTTCGCGGTTTAGTCAATCTGGTTTTTGTTTTGTTTTGTTTTTTCTTTTTTTTAAAAAAATTACGAAATATAACGCGTTATAATATGCCGTGTATTCCGTTCGATTGGAAATAAATCATTTCAATATAATATTAACGGAGGAAAAAACGCGGGATAAAGTGACCGGGTGTTAGTCCTTCGTTTTGCTCCGTTCGCGTCGTCAGCGAAGGATAAAACATCGATGATAATCGAAAAAATTAAAACGAAAACACAACGCTCGGTTGCACTTTTTCGTCGTTGTATATAAAATAACTTCTGCGGCGGCTGCAGTTTATCATAGTTTTCAGAACATCGAACTGGAAAATTTGAAAAGCGTTCCCTTAAACGATATTGTGTACACCATTCGACGGCATTTGTATTCGATATTAGAAAACCAACTCCGTCCGCTGCAGTGTTTATTGTCTCTAAAATACGAGTACTCGATCAAAACAAAAAATCACGGCCGGAAAATCGTTTTATAATATTTATTCACAATTTTTTGTTTTGGTTTTCTTTTAGCTCAAGGAGAGGGGATTGAATCCGAAACCTCCTCCTCCCGTATGTACGCCACTGAGAACAGCCAAAGACAGATGACTGCAGTGTACGTGAGACGGGAGATTTGGTCGTCGAGCGGAAGCTTAGGGACGACGGTGCCCGATCCCAAACGTGGTAGTTGGGACAAGAAGAAAACTAATGAAAAAGGAATAATTGCGCATTATTATAGTTTCGCAAAAAAAAAAAAAAAAAATCATTTGTAATTATTGTATAAGATGGATATTATTATGTATTTCAATATTCAGAGTTGTGTACATCAATGGAAAATTATTCACTGTCCGGAGATGGGAGTGGGAAATGTGTGTCGGTATACGTTTGCGGTTATGGGTTAGGTACACTATACGCGTTACGCGCGTCATAATAAACATAATTTGCAGAAACATTCGGGGACGAAACGACTTATACAAAACGATATTAAAAAAAAAAAAAATTGTAAATATATATGTGCTCGAGCATTACAGCGATAAAATAACTGTAATAAAAAAAGGATTCAAATTTACGACGAACACCGCCGTGGCGTTAATAGGTATAGATTTAAAAACGAATAATAAATATGGAAATAACCTTGCGCGCGCGAATGAATGGCCTACTCGGTATATTATATTATATAGTTATTAAATGTTGATTTATTTTCGTGTTATTGAGAAGTATCAATACTAAATGTGCCCTAAATGTAAAATAATAATAATAATAATAAATGCACGTCGTATTTATGTGGACTGTTGTTTTAACGTAGGCGTTAATAAGAGTACGAAAAAAAAAAAAAAAAACATGTATCCTAATATACGTAACTTTTTTAATGCGTTTTACAGGCCGCGGTTAGGACTAAAAATCGAAAAAATCGCCGAACACGCGCACATCAAACAGATCGAGACCCGTTTTGTCGAAAAATTTCATTGGGATTTATTTTTTTATGATAATGACCTATTACGCTCAAAGTTAAACTGGCATTTGAATGGGTACACGCCAATGGCTCAATTAGCTCATAATCTTCGGGGAACGGGTGCTTGAGACACCCACCAAAACGTTCAATTAATGTGGTCTGTGGGATTTTACCCCAGAATTTGGGAGCCTACGACGATTCAGAGGGGTTAAGCCCACTATCTCACCTAATTGTGTCGTTTAGTATACCCAACTCTCAGATCGCTCTAAATCATACCGAATCAACATTATTCTAGCTATATTTTTTAATTATCAAATTTATATAATCGATTTTTTTATGATGTCTAACATATAGTGTGTAGGTATTATTAAACCTACGCCAGCAACCATTTAAAATTTCGGAATAGCAGCATCCACCCCAACTCTCTAATAGTTTATACGTGATTTATAGGTCCGTGAGATTTTTTTAATGGCGACAAGTAACATTGCACCCATGTGACACTACGGAAGATAATATAATATGTGATGATACTAAATATTCGAATAATATTAAAAAATATTAAACATTTTATTTTATTTCCTTATTTTTTTGTTTTTTTAATTTTGTTCAGTAATCGTTGGTCATTGCAATGTTGCACACGTGCGCACGCTGCTCTCGATTGTAATGTAGTTAGATTTATCTGATTTAAAATCGGTTTACACGTGCACGTAAATAAAACTTTTACCGACGAATGCTGAACGTCCCGTCCCTTCCAAATCAACACCCCTCTGCGCCGAGAGGATAACGGTACATTTTCTAATTACCCTAAAACTTTTAATCATACACCATCGCTCTTTATCATTAGCCGTCCAGGCACCGCTCGTTTGGTGACCTTTGTGCTGTCAGTAGATAAGCTGCGATTCTCGACAATGCCAAATAATCAGCCTAATAATAACCAAACTCGCCCCGCCAATGCTAATATACAGAGTGTCTCAAGTAAACCAGTTATTCCTATTAAAATAACTAAAATAATCACTTCATATAAAGATGCCATTAACGGGCTCGAGTGGGTCATCAACACTGATAAACGACTATCTTCCCCAGGCGCAGTGCCTAGAATTAAAGAAACAAAACAGCTAACTCATTCACAACTCCAAATCAATGCCTCTCAATGCAGATGATAATGATGATTCTCAAATACACGCTGACGATTCATCACCAACGCTCCCGCTCCGATATTGATTGTCATTCCAATTTATTTTTCTAAATTTCGCAGCCAATTAACACGAATTACAGGTGACGAGGAGTTTTTTTTTGTAAATCGACTTTGAAAAAAACCCGAGAATGTCCTTATAATCACCTAATTCCTCCCAACAAGTTGTCACGGCATTGTGTGACAACTCTATTGCATATTTCATCGAATCAATCAAAAGACCAAAAACCGCACAGAGTCGTTTTTAAAAATCTGCATCACACAACATCTCCTGGATTTATCTCTGAAAAACTCTCTATGGTATGTCCAGCGAGAGAACGCGCCGCGCGCCGACCAAAGTCAGTCCGGTTTCGCGCGCATCCCCAGCCCACCAGCGTACCCGGCCTAGTGTTCCCACCTATACTACCAAACGACCGATGGCGCGCTCCGATGACCGGCTGCACGTCATGCGCACAACCGGCGCGTTCTCTCGCTGAATAAAGTGTAGGCAATCTTTTGATTCTCCAAACGAATAAGCCACCCTCTGTTTCTGTCTTTAATAGACCGAAAATTCTCGAAAATTGTTGAAAAAATTCTGGTAAAAAGATTGCTCTTTCACGTTTCCGCAGCTAATATTCGGCTCAATTCAGCTTCAGAGCTAAACACTATACCACACACCAATTGCATCGAATAATCGTTGATTCTGTATCCTTCACAATGGAAAAAAAAAAAACATTGTTGTAGGACGTAGGTATATCAGTATTCCTGGACGCTGTCCAAGCCTCATTTGACTATACAGTTACATAACGATACAATTCAACTCTTAATAAAAAAAAAAAAAAAAAAAAATGTTAGGGATTTGAAAGTTGAAATCCTCAAAAGGCACGTCGTTGATACTAACGCCGCGCATAAGAAAAAAATGTCATCCCCCCACTGCCTTCGTTTGTGGAGTCTGCGGGAGTACAAAAAGCTACAAAAAAATAATAATACCTAGGTACTATATTCTCGCAAAGACATGGCGAAATTCATACTTTGTAAATCAAACTAATTTTTCTTATCGCACTCGATTTACAAAACAGATTTCCGAGTTCAAACCAATTCGGCCCAGAAAGAGCCGCTAGAAATTTCCGAAATTAACGGGAAAAATAATATTTATATGTATACACGCATGCGAAATTGACAGTTTTGTCACGCATCTTCTCTGAAACTACTATTTTTGCGCGGTTTTTCGCAAAATGATCCGCATTGTCCGGAGAAGGTTTCAAACCTAAACCTCAGCAGGTTCGGCCAGGCACGAAATAATAATTTATAAGTATTTTTCATTGCTTATGAGCAATCGCATAACAAATGCATATAAGTTTGAAATGAAAATTAAAGAAAAGGTGTTTTTAAACATTTAAGGCCTTAACGGCAATAGGGGTACTCAACTCCAGTAACGTTGACGGGGATTAAAACAGGGTTAGTTAGCGGGTTAAGTCGCACCGACGATTAGACCGCCGCCGGGCAGAGAAACTTGCTGCGAGTCCTAACAAGCTTGGGTTGGAATGGGAAGGAGAACGGCGATTGTAATTTATTCTGATGTTAGCGACCTAACCTATAACACAGAGACGAGCGTTTATTGCACGGACGAAAGCCGGACGGGACGGCGTGTACACAACACGCGTAACGGACGACACAATAAACACGGTGCGGCGGTCTCAAATTACACGGGTAGAATTCGGCAAAAAAAAAAAAAAAAAAAAAAACATATCCCCGCGTTTAGGTTCGCGATTAAAACAAAAGTTCTATGATTAGATTATTACAGTAATATATATGTTTATAATTTACATTCTGCAACGCGGGCCCGCGATTAGGCGTTATACTCGCGTTAGAAACGCATTTCGAGGAGTCGTACATTAATTACGTAATTATCTTATTAGATTGAAAACAAAAATGTAAAAAAAAAAAAAAAACAAAATGTTCGCCATAATCGCGCGGCGGCGTTAACCATCCGGTTACGTTATTATTTTTTCTGCGGCCCGGTCGGGTTCGTCTTGACGGTGTTGCGTGTAATAACAGCAGCGGGGCGGTATAGTTTAGCCATACCACCTAGTTAAACGTTGTTGTTGTTTAGACAATAATTACACAGTCATTTATACACCATATAATAATATTTATTTTTTTATTTTTTTTTTGCACGTCTTGAGGACGACTACGATATTATATTATGGTGTACATGTACACACACACACACACACACACACACACACACACACACACCGTATAAATACCATACCTATTGCTGTTTGTACTACGTAGTTGTACGTACGTCATTTGTTGTTGTTTTTTTTTATTATTATTATTCAATTTTTTTTCTACTCCAGCGAGTCAGTCCCGTCGAAAAAAAAAATAATAATAATATTAAAAAAAAAAAAAAAAATAATAAAAAAATACCTATTCTATTACATATTATTGTAATATATTTCGGTATCGACTGTGTGCGGCGTACTATCATAGCGCGATGTGTTTTGTGAAACTATTTTGTATTCATATCGTACGCCGCCGTATAGTTTTTTTTAGTTTTTTTTTTTTTTTTTAGAAGGGCAATGCGTGTGGCCCGGCCGGGCCAATCGCATCCCGGCCACAACGGCTTAATAATTTTATTATTATATTGCATAAAATATCCGATATCCAATATTGGTTGTTATTTCGTATTACAAAGCGCGCGCACGGTGTTACGGGTTGCGCTAAATTTTCGACGTGAAAAGAAACCGCGATGCGAACATAATGTGCGCATCTCGCGTCCGTCTGGTGTTATTACGGCAGGTGCAGTAATAATAATGACAGCTACGCCGTGTTCCGTGCGGCCGAAAAGACCCACGCGGCAATAACGACGAAGACCCGTATGTAATATACGTATGCAATAGTTATTCTCTTTGTAATGCACTGCTGCGATAATCCTCCCAACCCCCCCCCCCACTCACCCTACCACCAGGGGGGATATTTTTCGTGTACGCGCATACGTATTGATTCGGCAAGGGATCGCGGTATACCGGGTGGTCCTTAAATCGAATTTCGACGTACGGGCGCCTATACTGTTTATGGTGCGAAACACCGACGGAGGTTCGGTGAAAATCTGTAGACAACACGAGACGGTGGAGGAGACAGCGACTACTTATTGTAATTTGTTTCGTCTGTATTTTTACGAAAAACTCGTTCAATAAACAACGAATTCTCTCGAAAATGTCCATAATTTGTATTTGAAAATCGACAATGTTTTCACTTCGACGGGGTAATGTAAAATTTTAAAATTGCATCTAATTCGATTCGCATCCTTCTTTCCCACCACCCAAAAAACTATTTCGATAAAAGTTCATGATTTCCGAGATTAACGATAGTGTTCTGAGCAGGTCCGGATTAACGCAAACGCAGTATATATGGGCTCCACGACTGTAGCGTTCCCCGCGGGCATTATTCGTCTTCACAATTTTTGTTTTTATAAGAAAATGTATATTTCCGTAAAGTATAACTAAGTAATACAAAAACAAATATATAGATACCGGTAAGATACAGGCCCGTAGCCATGTGGTGGAACAATAGGGGGAATTGTCCCCCTAGACCAGTTCTTTGCTCCCACTAGAATTTTTATCGGAAAAAGAATGTAAGAGTAAAACCATAATTAAAATCGTTTTTTCTAATGCGCCATCTATAACTCAGTTTGCCATCTCTGAACAACTGATGTCCGGCTACGGGCCCGGTAAGATATAGAAAAGAAACTGTGATGGATGTTTTTTACAGGCTGTTTTCAATTTATACAGATCAGTGATGAATAACAGTTGCCCCACCCACAAAAAAATGATTGTCCGCGTTCTTCTCCGAAATAAATACCATGTAGACTAAAGCCCAGAACTAAAATTGGTCCTTCTTGTACTAGGGGAACACGGGGGAATAGTGCGTATAATGGTGTGCACCTCGATA